CACGATCAGCCCCAGCAAGAGCAGGACCCCGCTGCCCAGGGCCAGGCGCACCGCGTTGTTCCAGGTGTAATCTGCGGGGGGACAGGAAGGGACAGTCACTGGGGGGCCCTGGGAGGAGCCCCCCGGGAACTCCCAGACCAAAGGAGTCCCACGGGGGCGATGGGGACGGAGGGGGCACACAGGGGTCTCCCAGAGCAAACGGACACACGTGGACGAGGGGAGACGCCGGGGCGCTCCCGGGCTGAAGGGGCATTCGTGGGGAGCACAGAGAGCCCCCAGGGCTCCTCCCACTTCCTTGCCCCCGGGACACCCCTACACACAGCCTCTGACCTGTCACCCTGACTGGTGGCACCGAAGGTGGGGAGGAGAGCAGGAACATGGAGTTTGCCTGCCTGCCGCTGTCGGCCGGACGGTGCCTCTGGGCTGCAACAAGACGTACGACTGTCCCCGGGGCTGGTGGGTGCAGGCACAGGTGTCCCCTGCCACCTGCCCCCCACTGCTGGCCTAGCAACCCTGTGGCTATAGGGTCTGTAGGTCACCTGTAGGTCTCTGAGGGGCTAGCAAGGCTCAAACACATCTGAAGGAAGCTTTAATCCTCTGCTTCTACCCCTACTACAGCTCCTTTCTTCCCCCACATCCTCTTTCCTAGTTTCCCCAGGATGTGGCAAATGCCAGGGAGGAAGAGCACAGCAGGATGTGGCTGGGGGGGACGTCTCACCTCTCACTACCAAATCCAGGGTGTTGCTGACGGCAGACCATTTCAATGAACCACCAGACTTGGAGAAACACTGGCAGCTGTAGCGGCCCTCATTGCTTTTATGCACATGGGTGAGGCTGAAATGATCTTGTTCCTTTGAGATTAAGTTGGTGGTTTCCATCCGGCCCTCCTGGTACAGAAAACAGCCAGCGCCGGAGTGATTAATGGTACAACGGAAAGTCACGGAAGCTCCTGCAGCCACTTCCTGCCCAGGCAGGATAGAGAAGACAGGTGTGGGGAGATGGAACTCTGTGGGGAGAGGAGAGGGCATGAGAAGGTGTGCAGGGCTTCGACGTGGTGCCGGGAGCCACCAGGATCTCCACGACCCCACCACCTGGCTCAGGCAGAGGTGAAAATGGTCCCCACCTCTCCAAGTCAGGGAAGAGGAGAAAAACCCTGTCCATCACGTGGATGGGGAAGCCAAGTGGCTACGTGCATCCCACTCTGCCCATGTGGCATCTGACCCCACACGAAGGGGTGACAGAGCACATCCCTCACCTTGCACTATGATGTCCAAGGTTTCACTGCGAGCCAGCACAGTGCGTCCATGCAGCCAATGGCAGTTGTAGGCACCTGTATCATTTTGGGTGGCATTAGAGATGGGGAACTCGGCCCAGTTGCCATGCAGGTCCAGGCTACGGATCTGGCGGCCGCGCTTGTAGAGCACGATGGTCCCCTTGTCACTCTGGCAACTGCAGCAGATGGTGGTGGAGCCTCCCGGTGGGATCACCCCAGGCGGCTTCAGGAAGATGGAGATTGTGGGGCGACCTGCACAGGGAGAGAGATGCTGCCAGACAGACGGGGAGTCCCCAGCGCCCGGCCGCCCTGCGGCGAGCCCGGAGCTGGCTCCAGGCCCATCCCCACACAGGGGCGAGTTTTGTTCTGTGGGGCTGGGCAAGAGCCCTGGGAGATGGGTGCGACCCAGAGATGTGTCCAGACTCCCCGTCTACTTCCTTCTGATACTCACTCGCTGTAGCCTTGCTCTGTACCACCAACCAAACGCCTGCAAGAGAAACAGCCATCTAACATCTTGTGGTTTAACCCGGCAGGCAGCCAAACACCACACAGCCGTTCACTTGCTTCCCCTCACC